TAAAAATAGCCTTGTAACATACTGTTTTTTCACGGCAGCAAAGTCCACTGAAATCTGAGTGTGCCCTTTGTGAGGATCTAGGAGGAGGGAATTTCAGTTAGGTCTTTCTCCTGCACAAGTGTATGTATTTCTTGTAGATATCACTACTTGCAACTAATCATGTTTCCTTGGGGCCACTGGGAATCACATATGCACCTCTTCTTTAGTAGTGAATATATTCTTATGGCATGACTTTATTTGAATGACTTGTCCACTGTCCTGATGTTGCTGTTCTGACTTTGGTGGTGAGGGTGGGCCTCTGACTTTTAAAGTCATTTATTTATTCATGCACTTTTTTGAAGAGAACATACATTAATTAATCTAACACTTTCCATGGGTGAGGAGTCTAGGCACTGTGGAGCTGAATCCTCTGCCTGTATCTCATAGACTCAAAGTCAAGGGGTCGGCTGTGCTGCAGTTCTCATCTGAGGCTCTGGGTTTTCTTCCCAGCTCGTTGATTATTGGCAGAATTCACTTCCTTGCACCTGAAGGACTGAGGTCCCTATTTTCTTGCTGGTTTTAGGCTGGACTTGCTCACAGCCTCTCCAGCTGTCCGTAGCAGGTAGTAGTTTGTTTATACAGTAGCAGTTTGCCTTCTTCTGGAGGACAACAGGAATACTACGCATGCCCAGTCCCTCTCATCCCTCAAATGTCTTTGGCTTCTTTATTCTGCTACTAGCCAGAGAAAATGCTCCTCTTTTAAGGGTTAAACTTAAATTAGACTGATTAGATTAGGTTTACTCATATAGTCTACATATTTTCAAGTTAATTGAATTAGGATTTAATTATATCTTTAATCTTCTTCTACAGTTGTTTCTAGGTAAGTGTTGGATTTCATAGCTGGGGTGGCAGGGTCTCCTTTAGAATTCTGCCAACCACAATCCCCATAATGTAGGACTATGCAGCTGTGAATGGAGCAATCGCCAAGATACAGTATCCTAAAAAGGCAAGGCATAGGACAATATTGATGGTGTACAGCTTTTTGTATTAGAAAAAGTGTATATAAAGCTCATGCATTTTCTATCATTTTCAAAAAGAAAGAATGGGAAGATAAGAGATCAACAAAACTGGCAATTTGTCGGGGTAGGTAGAAAAAACAGGAAACAGGGCAAGGATGAAAGCTATACTTTCTTGTACCGCTTGTTGTTTACACTTAAGAACTATGTATATAAATGTTTTATACAATTAAATGACAAAAAGTAAATAAAACTAGGGCAATTTTCAAAAATTGAAAATAAGCTGGTATCAAGTTTGTGGTGTAACTCCTTAGAGAGTAAGTATTTAAAGTGCTTTTAAATACCAGTATTTAAATGACAGTGCTGCTATAGCTACTTAAGGATAAAACCCAACTCAATAAGAAACCTTAAACTGCATTCAGTATTCTTGTTGTCAATGTTAATATTTATATTGGTAGTGTAGCTCCTCCCCCGATTTAAAAAGTTGTGGTAACATACACATAACGTAAACTTGACCATTGTAACCATTTTGTAAGTGTGCAGCTCAGTCGTATCAAGCACATCCACATTGTTACGCAGTTGTCACCGCCGTCCCTCTCCAGAACTCTCTTCATCGTGAAAACTGGAACAGCACACCCATTAAGCAGCGACTCTCCATTCCTCTCCCCCCAGCTCCTTCTTTACGCCTTTGACTACTCTAAATACCTCATGTAAGTAGAACCATACAGTATGCATCTTTCTTGTGCCTGGCTTATTTCATTCAGCACAGTGTCCTCAAGGGTCATCCATGTCGTAACATACTGCAGAATCTCCTTACTCTTAAGGCTGAATAACATCCCCATGTGTCTGTGCGTGTCACGTTTCCCTTATCTGTCATCCCTCAACGGTCACTCGGGCTGCTCCCCCAGTTCAGCTACTGTGAATAATGCTGCTGTGAACACGAGCACCCTAATATCTCTTCGAGGCCTTGCTTTCTATTCTTTTGAGTATCTAACCAGAAAAGGAATTGCTGGATTGTATAGTAACTAGTTTTATTTTTACTTTTTAAGGAACCGTCATACTGTTTTCCAAAGTGATGGTTTGCAGTCTCAGCAGGAGTGCACAAGAGCTCTGATTCTCTGTATCCTCACCAACACTTATTTTCATTTTAATAATACTTATCCTAATTCGGCATGAGGTTGTACTCATGTATTTTTGCAAGTCATTTCAAATTCCTTTTGGATCTAGGTGGGATAAAAAATAATATTAAAAAAGAATGTTCAATTTGCTTAGTTTTTTTTTTTTGCTTCCCATTCTTGTATTCTGCATCTAGCTCTAAAACTCAGCTTTTCCACACATTCCTCTTTTCTCTGACTTTTTGTGTTAAAATATTTTCATGTCTTATGATTTGGACTGCTGAGATCTAGTTTTCCATGTGTATTCAGTCCTGTCATCTCAGGTTGTGTGTGTATGTTTGTTTCATAGGGGGGACTATGATTTATACTTTCTTGAATCATCTCTAATGACATATTATATTAAAAAAAGCTTCCTTTTCCACTGTAATCAAAACAGCCTGGTACTGGCATAAAAACATGCACATAGACCAATGGAACAGAACAGAGAGCCCATAAATAAACCCAAATCTCTACAGCCAATTAATATTTGACAAAGGGGGAAGAAGCATAAAATGCAGTAAAAATAGCCTTTTCAACAAATGGTGTTGGGAGACCTAGACAGCTACATGCAAAAAAAAAAAAAATGAAACTTGATCACCAACTTACCCCATACACAAAAATAAATTCAAGGTGGATAAAAGACTTAAATATAAGTTGTGACACCATTTAAGTCCTAGAGGAGAACATTTGAAGGAAACATCTTAGACATTCCACTCAGCAACATCTTCCCCGATATGTCCCCTAAAGCAAGGGACATAAAGGAAAGAATAAACAAATGGGACCTCATCAAATTAAAAGGCTTCTGCATTGCTAAAGAAAATAGCATTAAAATGAAAAGAGAACCAACTATATGGGAAAACGTATTTGTTAATGATACTTTGGACAAGGGTTTGAGCTCCAAAATATATAAAGAACTCACATGACTCCACTCCAGGAAGACAACCCAAATAAAAAATGGGCAAAAGACTTGAACAGACACTTCTCCAAGAAGGACATACAGAGGGCCCAGACACATATGAAAAGATGCTCAGCATCACTAGTCATCAGAGAGATTCAAATTTAAACCACAGTGAGATACCACCTCACACCTGTCAGAATGGCCATCATGAACAAATCAACAAACAGCAAGTGTTGGAGAGGATGCAGAGAAAAGGGAACCCTAGTGCACTGTTGGTGGGAATGATGACTGGTGCAGCCACTGTGGAAAAACAGTATGGAATTTCCTCAGAAAACTAAAAATGGAACTGCCTTTTGACCCAGTAATTCCACTGCTGGAATTACATCCTAAGAGCCCTGAAATACCAATCCAAAACAACCTATGCACCCCAATATTCATAGCAGTACAATTTACAATAGCCAAGTGCTGGAAGCAACCTAAGTACCCAAGCAGCAAATGAGTGGATCAAAAAAATATATATATGGTACATTTACACAATGTAATTCTATGCAGCAGAGAGAAAGAAGGAGCTTCTACCCTCTGCAACAGCATGGATGGAACTGGAGAACATTATGCTAAGTGAAATAAGCCAGGCAGTGAAGGACAAATATCATATGATCTCACCTTTAATTGGAACATAATCAGCAAAAGAAAAAAAGCACACAAAATATAACCAGAGACACTGAAATTAAGAACAATTTAACAATAGCCAGAGGGGAGGGATGAGGGGACTGTGGGAAGACAAAACCAAGGGGGTTGGAAGCAAGGGAGGGAGGTGGGTTTGGCTGGGGTTGGGGGGAGTGGTGAGGAGAAAATGCAGACAATTGTAATAGAACAACAATAAAATAATTTTTAAAAGCTTCCTTTTTACAGTATAATTGTAACAAACATTCAGTTTTTAGCTTTTTAACTCTCAGCACTCAACACATATCTTGAGAATTGCAGGAACCTATTTGTTTTTGCAGCAACTGATGCTTGTTTTATCGATCCTGCAGGGGTATTCAATCATTCAATTAACATTTCTTGAGCTCCTATTATATGGTGTTCTTAACAGGGCACCTGGCTTTGCCACACCCTTTTTAAATGAAATGGCAACATCCAGCTGGTGTGAGGCCCATTTTTGAGGCAACTTGGGGAAGGGATTGGTAGGATAGGTTTTGGTGTGCATCTGATGATTCGGGACCACTTCTTCATCCGGTAGGACATTACTCCCCAGCCAAACACTGGGTCAAGGGCAGACACTGAAACTCTGACTAGTGAGTGTATGGCTGACCTTTGAGCAACGCTGGGATTGGGGGAACCGACATCCCCACCCCAGTAGAAAATCCGGCCTTAACTGCATATATTCTGGGTTCTAACTATGACGATCAACTCGTGTCAGTTTGATGAGGACTGTCTTGGTTTTAAAACAGTCCAGGGGCTTAACAAGCGCAATACTTCAGGTACTGAAGTGGTTGGTCATCGGAGCTCTGGTTTTGACCTCCCCCCCCCACCCCTCCCCACCCCTCCCCACCCCTCCCCACCCCTCCCCACCCCTCCCCACCCCTCCCCACCCCTCCCCACCCCTCCCCACCCCTCCCCACCCCTCCCCACCCCTCCCCAAGTCCCAAGGGCAATGGAGTAAGTAGTACATTTCTCACTGAGCAGCTGGTCAATACCTTGGCTCCTGGCGCCTCAAGACTACAAGTCCCAGCATGCAACGTACCCCTTCCAAGGCCCACCTCACTCACGCTGGCGTCACGCTGGCGTCCTCAGAGGGCACTACGGCAGGGAGCCTGATCGCGCCGCCACTGAACCGCTGCTGCCTTACTCTTAGTTCCAGTTTCCAGTCTCCTGGAAGGCCAGCGTCTGTAGGCGGGGTGGGGCGGTGCTTTAATTGCGCGTCGGTACGGCTTTCTTTCTTTTCTTTTTCTTTTTTTAGTCGCTGTGGTATAAAAGTCGGGATCTGGAAAGGGGCCGCCACAACTAGCCTTCTCTCCAAGTTTGCGACTCCCCAGTCCAAGATGAACAAAGTCTGTGCTGTTTTTGGAGGCTCCCGGGGCATTGGCAGGGCAGTGGCCCAGTTAATGGCCCAGAAAGGCTACCGACTAGCCATCATCTCCAGAAATGTGGAAGTGGCCAAAGCCACCGCCGGTGCCCTCGGCGGTAGGTATGGAGCTGGAGTTGTCCGTTTGTGTGGCTGCCATCCGTCTGTAAAATGAGCGGGACTGGCCTTTCCGTTTCTGAGGTTTAGCAAACTCACGTGCCCACCTGCGGGAGCACTCCCCGGGAGCGTAGACTGCACCTTGTGCAGAGAACCCCCTCCCCGGGCCTCCCCTCCTCACCGCCCTGTTTCCCGCAGAGCCCCTTCCGCCAAGCTGCCTGCTGCTGAGGGCTGAAGGCTTGGGGTTGTCTTCGAGACTGAGCAGCAGTCTTGTGTGTCCCTAAGCACCCACTTCCCTAGCGCCAGCCTGAGGGGCTGCCTTGTTTTGGCATGGGGAAGGAGAGCCACACAACAGTTAACTTTGTACGTAGGGCAGAGAGCTCAGGCGTGGGCAAGCTCGCGGGCGCCTGGGAGGCTGGGCTGGGCAGGAAAGGTAGGCGTGTCGGGCATAAAAGCGTCCCTTCAGTTTTTCTGTTGGTTGTTCCACAGAACTGTTTCCTAGAGACTTTTGAGTACCAGCCAGTTTTGAGATGTACCCAGTTTGGTTTAATACCTCCATAAGCGCTTAATTGTTTATTGAATTCTTTTGGTGACTTTTACAAAGGGGCAATTGAGATTTGTTCTGCCAAATTCCTTTTTATTGCAGGTAAACCTCAGGGGTTTTTTTTTCTTTTTAATAATGGATCAGTAACTTGTTTTTGTTAATTTAAGTGTTGGCGTAGGGAGATATAGAATGTTAGATTTTAAGATTCTGCTATTTTAATTGTTAGGATGGACAGGTGCACCTCATTTACTATTAGGGAGGCATTGGGGGAAAACAGAGGCCTGGGGATGCATCTGGTGGCTGTTACCTTTCAAATAACATTATTTATGGGCTCTCCTAATTGGTTACGTGGGTTAGGAGAGTATTAGACTTTCTAAAAGAAAACAACGTAAGTTAGAAACCAGGGAGAACTTAGTGAATGGTTCATGCTGCTCGTATTCATTGTCATTATGTTACTTTGACAAAGGGTGTGAAAGTGGTGCTCCTTGGCAGGCAGGCAGTGTTTGCTGGACGAGATTAAAACTTTTGCCTGAGCTCTCAAGGGCTGTTGCAGACCCAACAGCTCTTTGGATGAAAGCCAGGGGTGGGACCGTGATTTGAATCAGGTCCGTGAGTGATTGGTTTACGTGCAGAAAGTGACTTCCCTGCGATTTACTGTTTCCAAAGGCACGAGGGGCTGCTTTTAGTGTTAACTATTAGTCATGGTCAGCCAGAAAATAAACAATTAAAATATCTAAATTTTAAAGTGTTAAAATGGTATATTATTAAATCGAAAATGCTTTCTTTGAAGTATAATTTTTTGGTGTTAAATCTAAACATTTGATAAAATGGATATTAAAAATAAGTAACACTGAAACAGAGAACAAGGGGACAGTGACCAGAGGGGAGAAGGAAGGGAAGTTAAGGGGAAAAAGGGGGAGGGATTTGGAGGAACAAATAGGAAGGACACAGGGACGAGAACTAAGGGGGGGGGGAGGAAATGGGAGGGAGGTGGGGAGCAAGGGGCGGGGGAGGCTGGGATGGGAGAAATAGACAAAAAACTGTACTTGAAAAATAACTAAATAAAATTAATTTAAAAAAAAGGAAAAGGACATTGGATAAAAACAAAGGAAATCTGAAAAAAGCATTAGTAAATTACTGGTTAATAAAAAAAATAAGTAACAGTAACTTTTAGTAAAAAGCTTTTCCTATGGTATATAGTTTCAGCATATGTTACTGCTGTTTTTGTCTTCTCCTAATGGTCAGGCTTGAATAATAGTTGTAATATTAATAATATATTTGCCATAGGTTGAAACAACAACAACAACAAAACAATAATAATAAAAACCCAAGAGTTTATATTCAGGGCAGGGCTAGGATACCAATTCGACAAAGACCTAGCAGAATAGACATAAATTTCAAAAAAGTAATATAAAATCCAGAAAACTGTTGAATTGAGTAGATGGGATCATTGTCAAAGCTGTACATAGTATTAGATGAATTTTGCAAAGCATTACTAACAGGAAAAATGCCATCCCCCACTTTTTGTTGGTGAAAAACAAGGTTTAAGATTTGCGTTCTGCAGCGTTCTCTTCTTTCTCCTTGTTCTCCATCAGCCCTCATCCCAGCTGTACTAGGCTGAGCCCTGTGAGAGCAGGAACCATGACATCATCTTTTATCTCTGGGCTCTAGGTTAGCACAGGCCCAGCCTGTACTACAGGCCCAGTAGTACATGTTTAACACGTGTGTAGTGAATGATTTTTAAGTTCAAGTTCCAACTCAGAAGTAATTTTGATCTTTGTTGTGTAGGTGGTCATTTGGCATTTAGATGCGATGTTGCCAAAGAGCGTGATGTTCAAAATACGTTTGAAGAGATAGAGAAAAATTTAGGTCCAGTTAATTTCCTGGTAAATACAGCTGGAATTAACAGGTTGGTCTCAAATTTAAGTTCATTTCTAATATGTGATTTTTTTCTCTGTACCTTTGTTAGTATGAATTAGTATGTTAATTAACTTAGTTTATTTTTAATTGGAATAAAAATTGTGTATTTTAAAATTTGGTTTGTCACTCCATACATACTTTATACAATAAGGGTACAGTTTGATCAGTTTTAACATTGTAAGCCATATCTATGGTGAGCTGTAGGCCTTTTCCGGCACTTCAGAAGGCTCTCTCGGTGTCTTGCCAGTTAATTGTTCCTTGTTTGTAACCGCTGTTCTGATCTTGGTCACCATATTAACTTAACAGTAATGGAATGGGAATGGGTACTCTTTTTTGGGGGGGTTCTTTTTTATGATGAATTTGGGACAGAATATTTAAAATATTAACCTTCCTGCTAAACAAGGCTTAGAGGGCAGTTGCTCAATTAATTCAAGCCATTTTGGCCACATGGCACCATATTTTACAGTTAGGAATATTTGCCACTATCTGATAGTGGATAAGAAGGTGGATTTCAGATTCATCATTTCTGGCTTATCAGTTCAGTGCCTCTCAAACCAAGTTTAAAATGGGACTTTCTTGGTATTCTAGCTTAGAGGTGAAGTGCTTATTATACTCTATTTTAGGTAAAAATGTTACATATTTTGATGTATTTTGTTTTACATCATGTTTAATTTACTTGTATTTAATTTTATTTTTTAGGGATAGCCTTTTAGTAAGAACTAAAAGTGAAGATATGCTATCTCAGCTTCATACTAACCTTTTGGGTTCGATGCTGACCTGTAAAGCTGCTGTGAAAACTATGATTCAACAGCAGGGAGGGGCTATTGTTAATGTAGGTGAGTGTTCACCTGTACGATTTTACAGTGACCTTTTAGTACCATAGAAATATTTAATGGACTGAATTGGAATTCATTTATGTGTGAAACTTGGATGAAATGTGTCTGTTATTATCTGTGGAAAAGGATTTGACTGATTAGCGAGCAAAACAGGAATCACAAATTCACCTCCTTTAGTGGTCAAGGAGGAGTTAACTGAGTTGACACCATAGGCATTAGGAAACTGAGAGCCCAGCCATGTGATGAGTGACAGAGGATGGCTGGCTTTGGTGTCTGGAAGGCCATTTGGAACGGCAGGAGCAGCCACCACTCAGATCCAGTGGAACATTGCTTTGCATACCTGCGGTCCTGGTTTTGCCAGCTATTCTGATTTTTTAAGAGAAATTGGACATTTTGATTTTTATGTGAAACCTGGTTTTTAAAATATGAAGGAGGAATTGAAAAATTCTAGATATTGGGTGCTAGAAATGATGCCTAGAACAGCTGCCTGGGTCTCAGATTAATCTTGTGCCAAAATTTAAGAGGAAGTTTGAAGTTTTGTTAAGAGAGTAACTTTTCAGTGTTTTAGTGTGGACTCATGGGGCAGATAAACTGGGTGGTGTGTGCCTGTAGACCTTAAATGCAAAATGACTTGAAATTTTATTTCAGTGTGGTAGTTTTGAAAGTAGTGGCATACCATTGGCCTTTTAATTTGAAATGGTAGTACCTTAAATAGTCACAAAAAGGGGCTACTTCTTCATTGAAGTAAATGACCCTATTTCTTTCAATATAAGACATGGTTTTCCAAGGCAGATGTCAAGTTTTTTTTGTTTTGAAAATAAGAAAAAAGAATATTGTGCTTATAAGCATTAAAACGTTTTTGACATTTACATTAAAAAAATTAGATATCGATTTTGTTATAAAAGATTAGTAATAAGTCGACCTTGGCTTTCCAGCACAGTCAATAGGGATTTAAGCTGCTTGTGTGCTGCTGGTCTTTACCACCTGACACCCTAGACGTGTATTCTTTTAACTCTAAAATATCTCCTTTAAACAGATATATTTTTAAAAGCCCTCATCATTTCTTTGTATACATGCAAAACTTTAGAATTGTGCTAAAAGTAAATAAAAACATAATTTCAAATAAGAAAATCTTATTACACAAAGGACTACTTTAAACTGCTAAAAATGTATGCTGTTTCAGAAGTCACCACTTTTGACCAGACGAACAGTAGTATGTGGCGTGAACCAAGGCTTCTAAAGCTCCCTGTTTGGCCTTTCCTCCCTGCCTGTATTTTTCTTTCTTTTTTGTGTTTCTGTGTCCCCTTTCTTCCAAATGTTCCCGTCTCCATCCATCTGCATCTCCTCTGTGTGATACCTCTTTTCTCTCTTTTGTGCTTCAGCGTTCTTGTCCTTTGTCATTAACATATAATATAGGTAAACATTTTAATATTGGACTTGTTGATTATAATATAAAACATATTTGAAATGCTTTATAAAATGAAATTACTCTTTAAAAATTTTGTAAGGTTCTTGATTAATTTTTATATCATAAATATACGTCACCAGTGCAGAAAATTACTTCTCCTCTTATGTTTTGCCTGAATTTATTTGCATACAGATGATTTTAGAATTACAGATTATTTTTTCACATGCATATAAATGAGGAAACCCAAGAATCTTTAGTAGGCAACACAAGCTATATTTCACTGAAGGTAGCTAAAGTGCAATTTTACGTAAGTTTGTAATTAATGCTTTTCTTAGTTACATTGAGAGTAATTCAAATTTGGTGGGATTTGTCCTCAGATGAACTTGTTTAAGGTGGAAACGAATGCTTCCTTATGTCTAATAAAATCAATGAGCCATTAGCTGACTTTTCCTGGTTTCAACCTCTTCCTGCTGGAGGCCTTTATAAAGAGTGTAGAATTTTCATCATGTCTGACACATTCAAAGATGAGAGAGGGTTCCTTCCCCTTAATGGATCTGCTCTCACACCCAGTTTTACAATCGAGGTTTCAGCTAAACATCTTTCCAGTCCTGTTTTCTGTGAATCTGGAGCAGAGTCAGATTCTTACCACTGAAATGGCAATGGTGAGAATTCCTACTTTAGCAAAGACCAAGGTTAAGTGCTTTGTACCTTTTTTTGTGTATTTAGTGTAAATGACCTGCGTATTCAAATAACCTCATTAAACGTGTTTGAATTTGCCTTCATTTTCTTCTCTAGGAAGTATTATCGGTGTAAAAGGCAATGCTGGCCAGTGTGTGTACAGTGCCAGTAAAGGGGGATTGGTGGGATTTTCAAGAGCTCTCGCTAAAGAAGTGGCAAGAAAGAAAATTAGAGTGAATGTAGTTGCACCAGGTCAGTGAGAACTTCTTTTTGAACGTGATCTGTGTGTATATTTGTGTGTTCATACAGTGGTTGCAGAGCTTGTTCTTGTGTCTGTAAGACCATCAGCATCAGTAGGGCCCGGCCATGTCCTGACTGGACTTACCTGGTCCCCTTGCCAGGTTGTGCACTGTCCTGGAGGAAGAGGCAAGAGTGATGCCAGGCTGTTTTGTTTGCATAAAGCACATTGCTCTTTTTACTGAATGGTTACTCCCCAACTAAAGTCACAAGGGAAACGTCTCACCCCCAAATCAGTTATAAATGAAGAATGTAAGAATTTCAGGGGTTCGTGTTGGGGGGCAGGTGAGTATTTTCACATATACCCAGTGTTTAAACAATTCCAAACAGTATACCTTTGGAGAACCTTTGCATTTTGAGTGTTCTTTTTTATTCTGGGATGTTCCATGAATTACTGTTCACAACAGTTACTGATTAATTTAGACTTTGTCAAATTCAGTTTGTCAAAGCAGAACTTCCCAAATAGATGCTTTTATTCCCTAAATATATTCCATATGTCTATATTGTGGAAACAATACATCTGTATATTCAAAATATCTGAGCAGCTCTATAATACACTATGCTTTTAATAACATACAATCCAGAAGAATTAAAGAAGGCTGCATAGGCGATGTCACTTGCACATTTTACAAAGCAGCCAGGTACAAGAACTGATATATTCATTACTTCAAAAAGTCTTTACTTGCATAAAAAGGGATTGCCAGAGGTCATATAATGTTTCTGTTCAAAATAGACAAGATACCTTTGACTGGACTTCTGGTACCCCAGAGAGCTACTGAGGGTTCATGTCAGGAATTCAAACACCAAGAAAAATAGGAAGGAAAAAAAAATATTTACACTGACTCAGGCGGAAGGAACACCTTTTTAAAAGTTACTCAATGAAGTAGTAAGACTTTAGCATAGACTTTAGCGTTATTTGTGTGTTCAGTGAACGTGGAAGCTGACTGAGTAACGCTGTGGGAGGAGGGGAGTAGCAGAAACAAACACTGGTGCAAAGGCCCAGCCTGGAGGAACCGAGGCTCCTGAGAGCAGACCCGTTTGGGTGAGGCCAGCAGTGAGGATGGTTTTGGAGGGGGCTGTGGAATGAGCTTTCAAAACCGTAGAAGTCACAGTGGAAAACTTACAATAGAGCTGTGCTGCCATAGGGAATGTCTCAGGAGCGTTTGTGATTTTGTTAAACATGTGGGGAAAACCAAGCCAATAGGGAGACATTTCACTTGTAAAGAAAGCAAGTATGATTTGAGCTAAATACACAGAAATCAGACGTTAAGAGGAACATTTTTTGCACCTGTTCTTTTATTATACCACATTAGAAATGATCGATTGATTAATTGGGACATAAAGCCAATTATCTAGGTCTGTTAGTAACTGGTCATTGGAATATATTAAAACATAATGATCAGAGTTATAGTTGAGATTGGTATAAGGTAAAGAATCTCTTTAGTTTTTCTTCTTATTTATACAGAGTAGAGACATTATTTGGTACTCATGGATTGCATCTGGGTAGAATCGTTTTAAAGTGATTGTGAACCAAAACCCAAGACAGTATAAGGAAGTTTGCCACAGTGCTCGGGGCACCTGTTACCCTGTACCCAGCCTGCTCTCTGTCTTTTCTGAGTGTGCTGTTGGTTTTCACTTTAGTATCTTTCCAGTATCATCAAAACTGAAAACGTAATAATAAAATAAAATACAGTGATTGTGAATAAAATCATGTAATGAACTGGTGATTAGAAAATAATCTCTTATACCTTTTATATTTTTAAGTTGTTACTTTTAAATTTTACTTATGGAGTAACACGAGGTGGAAGGACCTAGCAATCACACACAGCCTAATCATTTTTACCGTTTACAAGAGTGGGGCCCGGTAGACAGGGACACACCAGAGGGTCGTGTCAGGGATGTTACCCCAGAGCTTTATCTTTAGCTTCCCCAGCTAAGGTAAGCTTAAATATAATGGCCCCTTAGATTTCTGATACCACGAGAAGAATTTAGGGGTTTTTTGTCCTTCTGCTAATATGGTCTGTCTAAACTATCTGGAATTACCCAATCTTGTAACTTTCACCATTATATTATTTGTCTTTTGCCAAGCTACTGGTTGATGAAGTTGCTTGGGGTAGGTAAGAGGGTAGTGCAAATGTGCTAAGGCCTAAACATCCCATGATTGCTCATTAGATGGTGTGATGGGCAGTTTGTTTAGGCACTTTCTTGACTTTGAATAAAGTGAGTGTTTTCATGTAGTTCTGCCAGTTAGCCATAGGATTTTCGATTTGGCATACTATAGGTATTTAAGAATTGGTTACCTGTGTTAAGAAAAGACATTTTGTTTAATATTTTTATTGTTTGTAAGAATGAGTTTGCAGAAGACTGTTGATGCCTTTTTATTTCAAGTTACTAACGTCTCCTTTTGGATGCTAGAGTTGGTGTTTTCTTTGGCGCTGATACTGAACTGTAGGGATCAGGAAACAGTCAAAACGTAGTGGTAGCCCTTTTGCTGTCTAATGTGCCTTCATCTCAATTCATTGTTTAGTCACAGAGCAGTAAATGTAAGGATTCTAAATCCAGGAATGTTAGATGAACTGTGGTTTAGATAATGTACATCCATTCTTCAAAAAGGAAGAAAGAAAAATAATCCAAAAGCTGCACTGTCACTATGCACAGCTTTGTGTTTGTGTGTACTGTTTACAACCTGATAGATTTCAGGGTTAGCTTAGTTTATCTGTGTGAGGAATAGATTGTGGTTTGGGCTGCGTGTATTCCCTTCCTTCCTTCTCTTAGGGATTGCAGTGGTGAGGGTGATGTGATGAGGAATTAATTCCTATTCATGGTGATTTAAAAGCTGATGGTTTAACGGTAATGTAAGTGTTCTTAACTCATAATAAATCATTCAGCAGACTTACTGGAGTGTGTCCTATATGCCAAGGGCTGTGTTAGGGTCCAGAATTACATAAATGAGTAAGATACTTCTGCCACAAGGAGCTAAGTATGGTGGGAAAGACAGACATATAAACAAATAATTACAGTGGTATGTGATGAATATAAAGATATATATATGACGCTGTGGAAATGCTGAAGAATGAGTGCTCAATTTTGTTAGAGTGAATTCGTTGTCAAGGCAACAGGCTAAATAGTGGGAATTCAGTTTGTATACAAAGGGAAGTTCTGTGAGTGTTAGAGAAATGTGTTTGTATGTCTAACTTTTCCTGAAGATCTTTCCAGTACAATTTACAGAAAAAAACCTGTTGCTATGTATGTGTCCATTTAATAAGGTGATCTACATTACATTTCATTGGCTTTATATATTTAGTATGAATATGCTTCATTGGTCATAAGCAAAATACAAGTTGAAATAGTAGAATTAAGTTGATTCTGTGGATTATTTATTAACTTTAATTTTCATAGTCATTATATTCAGATTCTTCACCAGATATCTGAATAGACCTGACAGGTATCAGAATTAAGAAGTATGTTTGTTTTTATGTCTTTTTTCTTGGTCACCTTTAAATGAGTTCCCAATTAAGGAAAGTAATTAAAAGGAAACTCTAAAGAAAATCAAGGAACAAGGAAATATTAAATTTGGCTATTATTCACTATCTTATATTGATTTTTAAAAGATTCTATTTATTTATTTTTAGAGGGGAAGGAAGGAAGGAAGGAAGAGAGGGAGAGAAACATTGATGTGTGGTTGCCTCTTGCACTCCTACTGCGAACCTGATCCACAACGTAGGCATGTGCCCAGACTGGGAATCGTACTGATGACCCCTTGCTTCACAGGCTGGCACTCAATCCACTGAGCCACCCCAGCCAGGGCATATTGATTTTTTAAAAGATCATTTAGTTCCAAAGATTTGATATTACTTTAAATATAAAATAAATTACTCCTAATGGATAAGTTTTAATGATTGGAAAAAAATGAGTATGAGAAATAGTATTTGGTAAATTAAAACTAGAATAGGTGCACAGCTTAAAAATATGTGTCTTCAAAGATGCAAATTAAAACCACAATGAGATACCACTTCATACCAGTCAGATTGGCCATCATATAAACAAGTGAGCAAACTACAAGTGCTGGAGAGGTTGTGGAGAAAAGGGAACCCTAGTGCACTGCTGGTGGGAATGCAGACTGGTGCACTCTCTGTGGTAAACAGTATGGAATTTCCTCAGAACACTAAAAATGGAACTGCCTTTTGACCTGGGAATTCCACTGCTGGGATTATACCCTAGGAATCCCGAAATAGCAGTTCAAAAGAAGCCGCACACCCCAGTGTTCATAGCAGCACAATTTACAACAGCCAAGTGCTCGATACAGCCTAAGTGCCCATCAGTAAATGAGCAGATGAAAAGACCATGGTACATTAACACAATGGAATGCTCCTCAACAGAAAGAAAGAAGGGGCTCCTACCATTTGTGACAGCATGGATGGAACTGCAGAGTAGTATGCTAAGTGAAATAAGCCAGGCAGTGAAAGACAAATGCCATCTCACCTATAAGTGGAAGCTAATTAGCAAAACAAACAAGTGAGCAAAATAGAACTTGAGACATGGAAATAAAGAACAAAGTGGCAGTGATCAGAGAGGGAGGGGGAAGGGGGATAATGGGGAAAAAAAGGGGAAGGGTAAGTCAAGGAACATGTAAAGGACCCAGAGACAAGGACAATGGTTTGGGGAGGGGAGGGTGTATAGAATGTGGGAGAAGGGGGTTGCAAAGGGCAATGGGATAAAAATGGGGGACCGTAATTGAACACCAATAAAAAAAAACCAAAAATGTGTTTTCAGTTGGTAATACAAACATGGTATTAAATTCAAAAGTACAAAAAAAGCATAGAGGGAAAAAGTGAGTCTTCTCTGTCCTGCTCATTCAAATTCTTTCCTCTAAGCAGTACACCTAGTTTCTTCTGTATTTTGTATACAAGCCAAGAAAGTGTGTGTTCAGAAAAGATGAATTGTGGCATACTGTT